TCCACCCGGAGCCCAGCAAGTGCTGACCCCAGGGAGCCTGCCCTTACCTCCAGCACATGACCACGTCCATGCCACCACCGAGCCTGCCGGGGAGGCTGCAGACACCCTTTTCCTTCCCAAAAACCTCATCGTTAGCTGCTGCGAGTCAAACACAGGGGGATGGAACTGCTGCAGCAGAGCATCGCTTGGTATTGCCTGCAGGTACTGGGGAACACTCTGCACTACCCCCTGGGAAAGGGGAGCGCAAAGGCTCAGCGAGGGGCTTCGGTTCTTCTGCAGAGCAGCTTTCTACAGCGAGGGGTTGCCGTTTTCCCTTTCGTGTGGGTCAGTGGTGGCCATCAGAGGAGGCCGCCTCACGCTGTCTAAAAGCGGTGCAGGAGGACATTTAGAAAACCTGGTCTGTACCTCAGCCAAACTGTCTACATGGGGAAAAAAGTAGGACACTACCCCCCCCAATTTGGCTTCTCCATCACCTGCGTCGGGCTGGGAGGAGACCCCCCCAAGGAGGCTGTGCCTGCACCCAGCCAGCTGCCACGGGCACGGGATACCCTGCTCCTAGGAGAAAAAGTGGTGAAATATTACATGCTCTGTGAGAGTTTCCTCCATCTGTGCAAGGGGTTTTATTAAGTGAGAATTTTTTTTTTTTTTTTTTGGTACTTTGTGCAACACTATCGTGAAAGGGCATTTCATTATGTTTCTGCCATGTGCAATTTTTATGATGCTACATTGAACCATCGTCAATAACAGCCTTTATTGAACATGAAATGGTTCAGACAATAAAAAACCTTTATTGAAAATAGCTCAATGTAAACATAAAACTGAGGGGACATAAACCACAACCTGGAACAGCGCAAACTTTATGGGACGTTACTGTGCGGCTGTGTTACACGGGCTCAGCAGTGGGCAGAGTGACCCGAAGGGACGAAGGGACACCAGGCAGGGACAATCACAGCTTGCACCGCACTCTGCTTCACGCCCAGCAAGTCCCTACCGAGGCCACAGCTATTTCCATAGGGCATCTACTGGGATTTAGCGCAGTTGTATTAAGTGTCAGTGCCATCAGGAGGACTGAAGGGTGGTTGTGGTCCTCTCTGTTATATGCTGCCCAGGGAGGTGGTTGACTCCCCATCCCTGGATGTGTTTAAGAGCCATTTAGATGTGATGTTGGGGGATATGGTGTAGAGGAGAACATTGTAGAGCAGGGTAGATGGTTGGACTCGATGATCCCAAGGATCTCTTCCAACCTAGACAATTCTATGATTCTATGGAAGGGTATCAATACCCATCCTGGAAGGATGAGTCCAGAGTGGCTCATGGCCAGTACAGAGGTCCATTGACCCCAAATGTGTCACTGGGGGACTGAGCCAGGATGCGCCCCACCAGCCAGCCTGGGCTTTTTAAGCAGAAGGATAATCAAGGGACTATTTACATGCTGTGGCCACAACAGCTCCCATTTACAACCAAGGAACACCACCTTAAGTGCTCACCTCCCTCATTTGCTTCCTCTCCCCCACGGGCGAGTGTTTGCTCTCAGCGAGGAGGCCGCAGGGACTGCTGTGAGGAAGCAAAGACCAGTCCCACACACTGGCTGTGGGATGGGGATGCGGAGAAGGGTCTCCTCCCGGCCCCGGTGCCATCCCTGCGCAGCCGGGAGCCTGGGAATTGGGGTGTCGGAGAGGTGCGGGGTCGGGATGTCAGCACTGATATTTGCAATCCAAACAGGCTGGAGAGAAAGGGGAGGAGGATTTTCGTTCCTACTTGGCACCTGAGCGATATGAGCTGACCCTCCTCTCTACCATCAGGGGCGGTACCCACAAGGCCAACCTCTCTCTGCACCCCGGAAAATGGGAACGAAGGCGGCTGTAGCGTGCACCGGGCTATCCTGACTGCAGGATTGTAAAATGCAGCGTAAAAATGAATCCTCTGAAATGCAGCTATGGGCAGCAGCAGCATGGTCACCGTGGGACTGCTCAGCCCTTCAGTGTGAGACAAGGATGCTGAGCTGGGGGTTCACGGGGAGCTGCTGTCGTCTTCCACATCAGCCAGGTGAGCGAAACCCCAAATATCTATTGCCTTGGAAGCAACCCTGGAATCCAGGTAGGTGGGAAAACAGCCACTGGGCAGGGCTGTGAGAGGCACTCGGCGACCCTCTGGCCTTTTCCAGGGGCTACAAGTTTTCAGGGAAGAGCAGAGACAACAGCCACCATAGGAACCTGCCTGTCGCCAAGCTCCAGCACAACCTCCAGAAAGCAGTTTGTTTTATCTCAAATGCTACAGGAGAGCCCCAGGACTTGGAGAAGAGTAAAACCCAACTGGGAAGGGAAAGCTGCTCAATATAAAAAGAAAGCATCGGGACTTTAAGGCAGAGAGCTATAGGTGGAAACAGCAGGATTCAACCCCAAAAATCACAGAAGCCAACTGCCTCTTCAGCACAGCCCCTGCAACCACACGAAAGAGGAGGGTGATCCGGTGCACGGAGGAAATCAGCTCCTCCACCTTCCCATGACCGGCCCGGGCTTACCCCAACTGCCTTCCCCTGTTTTTTACTGGGGGTAGCAGAGCTACCTTGGCTGCTCACTGCAGAGCCCATCCCCCTGATCCCAGCAAAGGGAGCCCCTACCTTGCCAAAAACCTTTTATACCCCATCCCCTGTGCAGGTGTGTCCCCATCACCGCCCCTTGGCAGGCAATTCGCTGCTGGGAGATTGCTTCTTCCATCCCCATCACCCACTGCTAACGCTGAGCACCTGGCTGGTCCCCAGCCCCCCCCAGCCCCCCCAGCCTGGTAAACCCACCCCATGGCAAAGCAGCCCCAGGGACCCCCCGGTTTGGTGGGGTGTCACTGCTGCAGCTGAGACGGGGCAGATCTCCCTGGGGCCGTCAGAGCCAACCAGCACTTTTGCTGCCAGCGCAGCCTCCGACATCTCTTTTAATCTTTCTTACAGTGATTTCTTTTTTGGTTCGGTGCTTTTAGACTAGAAACTGCTTCTGCTCAACTTGTATAAAATCTTTGCTAATGCAGTGGGTGGCTTTGGATGTCACTACGGGGTGCAGTTGCTGAGCACTTCTGCAATAAAAATGGGATAATCGTGTCCCGATTTTCCACTCGAGGAACAAACCAGAGGTTCGAGGGCTGACCACTCTCCGGCAGGCAACTGGTCCCAGTGCAAGTGTGGCGGGGAGACTGGGATGGCTGGTCATCCCTTCACTAGAGGGCAGCATCATGCCAATAAAATTGCCTTAAATCTGCAATTTCGGATTAGCCAGGTGGGAGCGTCCAAAGAACTTCACACCTTGGGTAATCTGGCGTCGAAAGGCACCGGCGTGAATGGGAAAGGAGCTGCGCTCCGGCAGCTGCCGGGCTCTCCGGAAAGCCAAATTGCCATTGCCAAGAGGGGCCGAGCTGGATGTAAGGGGCAGCCTCTGCTTTTGGGCTGGGGAGGGACCCGGGGCAACGTGCCCAGGGCTCGTGTGCCCCAGCTCCTGCGGGCTGCAGGAGGGAGCCAGTCGTTTGCAACATCTGGAAGCCATTTCTGCGGTTTTGCTGGCCGGCTGACATGCGGCGAGGGGAGAGCGGCTCCCCGGCTCGGGCGGGAGGCCCCGGGAGGAGGCTGAGCCCGACCAGAAAGGCTGCGATAGCCCCTGGGATTCGCTTTATTGCAAGGAGATAAAAGGTGGCTGGAAGGCAGCACACGGGAGGCGTGAGGTTAGCCGGGTAATCGCCAGCACGGCTGAGCCTCCGGGTCCCGAGCACGGTGTATGTGACGAGAGCTCCCTCCGTGCTGCCAAAATCCCGAGCAAAATAACCAAACCAGACACGTTAGACGTGTCTCTCCCCTTTGCAGCAGGGATGTCAAAGCAGGGACGCTAAGGCACAGACACCCCGGCAATGCAGAGGACACAGCCCGCTTAGAGCCTTAAATAAAAAAATCCTTCATGGCCCATCGCTGTGGAACAGGCTGAGGCACTAACGAGCTTGGAAATCAATGGGGCTTGGGTGGAAACGGAGCTTGGACCTGCTGGGAGCCACCAGCAGCCCTCCAGCATCAGCAGCGCCAGCAAATAATTAACACCAAATGGCAGCGCAGGGGATGGCTCCCGGATTGCTGAGGGGGCTGCTGAGCGCTGGCAGTCGGGCGGGAGGTTCAGCTTTCCACGGGAAACCCGGCCCCAGCGCGGGGCATCCCGGCGCCGAGGGGAAACCCACCCACCGGCGAATGGAACCCAGAGCTCGCTTTCGGGATGGAGCCTGCGACAACGAGATAATGCAGATAATCCCACCGGGACTGGTATAGAAAAGTATATATACAAACGAATGAATGCATAAAAATACGTATGTGTGGATATATATATGTAGATATGCGTGTCTCTCTATATATGCATGGATATGTGTGTGTGTATATATATATATACAGTCAGACAAACTATGTAGCACACAGTAGGGTCTGTCTCACACATACGCACACATATATACAGAGGAAATGGGAGTGCTCCGGTCACCTCCACGTGCCACCACGGCATCTGTGCGCACAGGGGAAGCCGGGTGGGTGTGAGCAGGAGCCCATGTGAGGCCCAGCATGTAAATAGAAGTGAATTAATGCCTGGGAGGTGAGTGTCTGTTCGCCCTGTCACGCACGTGTGCGCAACGTGTGCCAACTTTCCCTACTTAGCCGGGACGAGGGCTTTGGTCTTAAAAGAAAAATGGTGCCACTTTTTTCACTCTATAACTCACCGGGGCCGTTCAGTGCGTGTCTGTGTGGGGTTAAAGGTAGGGCCGAATTTTCCTCCCAAAATACTCCTGTTAATGGCTTTCAAATGTTGGCATCCCTGGCGGGTGCGTGCGTGCGTGCGTGTGTGTGTGTGTGTGTGTGTTGGCTGCTGGCGCTGTCTCACACACAGCAAACTCCCCAGCTCCCAGATATTTAAGCTAACTCCATCCCCTCTCCGGTTTCAGCTGCGTTTTTAAAGAAAACAACTCCCACCGACTGCAGCAGGAAATCACTATTTGGGTTTATGAGGCACCTCTTCCTGACGAGCCGCGCGGAAAAGTCTCTGCTTGCTCTGCAAGGCAGGTATCCCTGTGCCGGCGGGGGCGCCCGGGGCCTCGGCGTTGCGCACCGGCCGCATCACACGGCAGCCCTCGGCATCGAGCACCAGCCCTCGGCATCGCACGGCTAAGGGGGATGAGGTGACACTTGAAAGTCGCTCATGCAACTGCTGCAGTTTTTGCGAGCAGGCAAAAAGGAGATGCCTGAGCCGATGGGGGTCCTATCAGCTCTGTAGATGAAATGAGGTGTACGCTAAAGTGTTGAAGGCATAAAAAATGTTGTTAAAACAAAAAATAAAGTCACTCGATTTTATTAGTGACTTTTCCTGGTTCGGGCCGCTGCCCTGCATGCACAGAGGAGCCCGTACCCAGTGTGGGGCTCGTAGGTAGGAGCCCAGTAGCTGTAATTAGCCCTGGTGATGGTGATGCGTGAGACCACAGGGCTGCTGGACCAGGATCTCGCCGTCCCATGCCCCAGCACAGGCATGCCCGAGCCCGAGGCTGCCGTGCCATCCCTGGGCAGCTGGACCACACAGCGAGCCCACATCAGCCCCTCTGAAGCAGTTGCTTCTCCCCCTTGTTTTCCTGGCTTCTCTGATGCTGGAGAAGTCATCTGCTCCCCACACGACCCCATGAACCCGCTCCTTCCAGCCACCGGCTCTGCTCTGAGCCCCGGTACCGCGCGGGAGGCAGAGCCCCCTTCGGTTGGAACCTGTGGCAATGCTGAGCTCCAGGATGTGTCCCTGGAAAAAACCCACCGGGGCGATACAGGGTCCGTGTGTCTGTCCAGCTCTCCTAGAGTGGGGCTTCAACCTTGTTTCTCTGGCTTTGGGCAGGAGGCTGAAGCAGTTGCATTAACTCAAGCGGTGGTCCCTGGATATACGTGCCTGGGAGTATATCTATGTATATGACCCCAGGGGCCACGGGTCCAGCTGTCCGGTCCGTTCTGGCTTTGTCCCTTGTTGTGTCCCTCGGGGTCTCGGTGTTTCTTTGGGGCGAAGCCCTCGCCTGCCCCCTGCCCAGCTCTCCGGCAGTGCCCGAGGGTGAGAGCCTCACCGGGCTGCTCCGCTCCTCCCCAGGCACCCAGGAGAGGGTTAACACGAGCGTTTCTGCATTTTCCTTCTCCAACTTGGTAGCAAGGCAGAAGGTGGGGATATATGGTCTCCGCTTGGGTCCCAGCCTCCAAGGCTGGCTGGAAGAGCCGGCGCTTTCAGGCAGATTGCCGTTTGGCAGCGAAACCCTCCGGCATTTGCCAATTCTGCACTGCTTCAGCTATCGCCGAGCTCAGACGGCTTCTGCACCCCCCTCTTCCCTCGAGACACGATAACTTTCTGTGTAATCTCTGCTGGCGACAGCAGCACGGAGCCGTCCCACCCCGCTCCCCCCCTCCCCAGCCCGGCTCCTGCCAAGCTCCCACTGCACAGAGCGAAGGGGTCGGGGTGCCGGGCTGGCAGCACCCCCCCAGCTGGGACGAGGGTCCCCACGAGCAGGGGACAGGCAGCTCTGGTGCTCCCCCGGGCTGAGGACACCCCAAAGCGACAGCAAACACTGGCAGCTGGTGGGGTTTCCCAAGCCAACAAACCCTGTCCTGCATCCTGCGTGTGGGGCATCCGTGCTGCCCGGAGTGGTACCACTGGGCAGCCTGGGTGGTTTTTCCTTCCTCGGCGGTGCTGTCTCTTGTGCAGGAGGCTGAGGGGTGCAAGATGGCTTGAAGCCACCTTGCAGCACCGTTGTGACACCCCACCTTGGTCCCAAACCTCTAGGACGAAAGAGACCCGAACTGGGTGCTTGTGCCGGCACAGGCACTGGGATTTTTTTTTCATTCAGCAGATGCTCACGCTTCTGGCAGGTTCAGGATCAAAGAAGAAATCAGCTCGGACCAGATACTCTCGGACGCCAAGGAGTGGGAAAAAGTGATGCTGCTGAGCCTGTGGCCTCAAGCTGGTTTTTGGGGAAGGGTGAAAGCGAGGAGAGGAGCTGGTGGACCTGAAATGTTAATTCCTTCCAGCTGTTGTCAGTCTGGCAGGTTCTCAAAGGAAGTTTAATAGACTGCAGTCGTCTCCCCTCGGCCCGTCCCCCCATCGCCGCGCTGTGCGGAGGCAGCCCGGCAGAACCTGGGATTACATGAGCTGCTGTCTCTTCCAAAGACCTAGTTTTATTTTTTTCCCCTTTGGCTCTGAACGTGTTTTCTTGTGTATGTATGCGTGAGAGCGTGTGTGTGCACACGCACACACATGTGCAATGCCTTTCTCTCACCCCCTCTCCCCAGCAAAACCTGTCCCTTGGGTTGCAGTGACTTAGATGGGACCATGGGGGTGGCGTCGGGCTGGGGCAGGAGCAGGAGCACAGGAGCGGGAGCGGAGGACTGCATCGGCAGTGAGGAGGAGGAGGAGACGGCTTCATGGGCCTCCTTGCTGGAGCACGCCCCAGTCCGCCGTGTAAACTGGGAGGAAACAGGATGGAAGAAAGTATTTGGAGTGGAAAATAAAAATCCTCTCACTTGCTTTATTGATTGTGATTGTGGACAGAAATAGCTCGGGATGTTGAAAGCGGTCCCCCACCGAAGGCGCAGGGGCGCATCCAAGCTGCTGGAATGTGGGGCTCAGCCCATACAGCATCCTCCAGCCGCCCACAGCACGCGGAGAAAGAGGGTGCCTGGAAACCTCACGGCGATGGGGTGAGCCAGCCCTGAAGCAGAAGGGTTTCTCACCTGCCTGCCACAGCTTCTGCATAGTTTCCAAGCCTCGTGTTGTACATCTTGATCTACCCTGGCTGCATCTCTAGACGTGCTCAGCATGGGAGCCCGGCGGCACAGACGCAGCCCCAGTAATGCGCGGCCCTGGCAGTCTATTGGCAATTAGACAATAAGGTCCCATCATTAATACACCCGATGTCCTATCCGTAATGAATCGCCAGCAGAGAGTATTGGACAAGCAGCACCAGCTGGGATCACACCATCCCGGGGAGGCAGATGTGTGTCACTCATGGGGGGACCCTGCCACTAAGCTGGGCTAAAACCAGCAGCACCAGAGCAAGGCAGTTAGGCAACTGGACCATTTCATGAATTTTAGCCCATTTCATTGAATTGCTTCACCTGAAACACCAAGCAAGGGGCCAGGGGAGGAGGGCAGGCGAGCCCTGGGTGCCCAGCCCAGCCCGTGGGGCCAGCATCCATGGTGTGATGGTTCCCAGCTCCCAGAGGCTTCCAAGAGAACCATAAAAACCAAGTGCTGGCAGGAGAGTAATTAGTTAAAACTGAGCACATCTGTTGTTAATTAATTCCCAGGCAGGAGGGTTTAACTCTTGCCTTCCCTGGTGGTTTGCGAGGTGGATGGCCAGTGTCAGCTTGCATCCAGAAGGCGGCTTGAGCTTTGCTTTTTGAGCCCTTTCCAGGGACTTGGGTTACTTTCCTCCATCACTCCCCGCTCTGGTCTGTCATTCCCACATCCCAGAACCATCCCTGTGATTTTCAGGAGCGCCCAGGACGTGAGCAGAGCAGCCAGCACTGCTCAGGGCAGCGAATGCGCCCCAGACTTGGGGTTGGGACTGAAAAAAATCTGGCTTTTCCCCTTCCAATGTCCAGCCCCAAACAGCCGGTGGAGAAGGTGGGACCTCTCTGCAGGGCTGAGCTGCGCTTTTGGGTAGCCCTGTGCCGGCGGGTGCTATTTTATTTGCATTTTTCAAAGGCAGCCATCACTAAAGTACATTCGTAGGCGTGAATATCACATACATTCAGCAGTACATCATGCTCCGCGAAGAGCCCGGCTCTGCTCCCCACCTCCCTGCTCTGCCTTGCCCACGAGTTTCAAGCCGGGGCGGGCGGACAGAGCTGCTGCGTGGGGACCCCGTCCCTCAGGAGCGTTAAAAGGGCATTTCATGCTGGAGCAAAGCTGGGGGAGAAGGCGAGGGGCTGCTGGGTGGCACACCCCCCCTTCCCACGCCAGGACACAAGCACGCACGGCACGGCCAGCCCGCAGGGCCCTCCTGCACTGGGGGAATCTGTTCCCCATTAAGCGACTCCAGCAGCGCTCGTTACTGCAGCTGGCAGGGAGAGCACCCTGCCAGCTCCAACCTCCCTAATTAGCACCACAAGTGAGGCCAAGCTGGGGAAGGCCAGCGCCTCCGTCCTTCCTTGCCAAGGATGCAGAGGGTTTGGAGCAGAGCCTCAGCCAGAGCCCGTGGAAAAGCTCCCACTGAGCGCTGGATGGGGCCCCGGTCCCGGCCGTCCCGGGGTGGGCAGCGATGTGCATCCCCCCCCTCAGCCCCCTGCTCCGGGGCTCAGCCCGAGGGCCTGTGCCAGGGCAAGGGCTAAAAGCCTCGATCCACCACCCCGAGTCCTCCGTGCCACGCGTGGGGGGGAGGAAGGCTGCCCGTATCATCCTCTTCCCCTCCATGCACTTGCACGGCGCCGGGCTCCGACCGCCTTTAGCTCACCACTAAGATCCTCACTGCCTCCTG